TTTTTTTTGGGGGGGGGGTTCATTTTTGTTTCAAAATGGCTATAAACACTGAATCTTTTTTTTTCTTTCAATATATGAAGTTTATTGTCAAATTGGTTTCCATACAACACCCAGTGCTCATCCCAAAAGGTGCCCTTCTCAATACCCATCACCAACCCCTCCCCTCCCTCCCACCCCCCCATCAACTCCTCAGTTCTTGGCTTTTAAGAGTCTCTGCGCTTGGCTCTCCCACTTTAACCTCTTTTTTTTTTTTTTTTTTCCTTCCCTCCATGGGTTTCTGTTAAGTTTCTAGGGATCTCACATAAGAGTGGAACCCATCTGTCTTTCAGCGAGCACTCACTTAGCATCAGCCTCCAGTTCCATCCATGTTGCTAAAGGGGCCATATTTCTATCTCTTTTCTCATAGTACCCATTGTGTATAAACCACAATTTCTTTATCCATTCCATCAGTTGATGGATATTTAGGCTTTTTTCCACAATTCTTATTATTGTTGAATGCTGCTATAAACATTGGGGTACATGCCCCTATGCTGCCAGTACTCCTTATCCCTTGCAATTCTAGCAGTGCTGTTGGGTCATAGGGTAGGTCTATTTTTAATTTTTTTTGAGGGAACTCCTCTACACTGTTTTCCCAGAGTGGCTGCACCAATTTGCATTCCCACCAACAGTGCAAGAGGGTTCCTGTTTCTCCAGCCATCCTCCGGCATCTATAGTCTCCTGATTTGTTCATAGCCTGGCCAGCCCCCACTGGTGTGAGGCAGATATCTGAGTGTGGTTTGATTTGTAGTGAATCTTTTTAAATTATTTTTGATGCAGTGATTTTATTAAAGCACAGGACAGGGACCTGTGGGCATACAAACTGAATCTTGGGGAAAGAGTAGAGGAAACTTTTATCTGGTCTGATAAAAAAGTCTTGCCATTCTTGTTAGATAAATAACTTATGAAATGGCAGATTAGAAAATTTCTAAAACATTTGTTCCTGGTTTTCCTATACCATCAAAGCAAAAAAATAAACAAGCACCCTGGTTGGAACTAGAATAGGTAGGTATATTTGTTGAATGGAAGAATTTATTTATCATTTAGGATAGTACTATATAATTCATAATTTTATTATATATCATTATAAATAATTACCTGTTACTCCCCTGGTCATTGGACCAGTAGCCTAAGAGATAATTTGTTACAGTATTGCTTTAAGTGATATCCCTAATCATTATCTATAGAACATGCTTTTTCCCTGCAGGGATAATCCTGTGCTTGCCTATGTAGGCTCCTTCCTTTCGGCCAGCAGATTGTCTTTGCAAGTGGCTTCTGCAGTCCATATGGTCTTTGGAAGAGAACTCAGTTCTTGTAAACCAGGGATGGTGAATTTTTTTTTTTTTTTTGTAAAGACCCAGATAGTAAATATTATTTTAGTAGCCCAAATGCAGTTTCTTTTGCATATTCTGTGTGTGTGTGTGTTTCATCACTAAAAAGGCGGTAAAGCTCATTCTTAGTTGTGGCCATACACAAATAGGCTGGATTTTTCCAGTTTACATATCAACAACAAGTGGAACTTCCATTTGATATAGAGCCAATGAATTTCTAAGCTCAGAGCCACAACTCTGATGGTGGTCTCTTCCAGATATCCTAGTCACTTTTCTCAGCTCCACATAGGTGTCTCCTCCTTAGGACTCCTGTCACCCTCAAATAGGAGCTTTACTAGTCTCTTCATCCTCGTGTTTCAGGAGCAGGAGATTAGACAGGTGCCTTTGCTATATTGCCACTGCTACTTCTGTTCTTGAAGTTCTATCACTGTCACCCTTCCTTCATCTCACCTCCTAGAAGAACTCCTTCTCATTCATTGAAGACTTTACTTGGTTATTTAATGCCTTTTCTTTCCTATTTTAATTATTTCAGTGAATCCAGGACCTTGGATAACAAATCTAAAATTAGACCCTTTTCTCCATTCAGACACTTCTCAGTGGCCACTCCAGATACTTACTAGCTCCTGAACTCCCCATGTACCTCACTCATATTCTGTGCCCATTCACTATCTCCTGGTATCCCTCCACTGCTGGAAGTTCTGCACTTCTGACCATTTTCATTGTGCACCACCTGTCTCCCGTTTTCAGATTCTTTGTTTTGTTTATCTCGGCTTTAGAGCTGCTCTGTCAACATGCCTCACACCCTCCCTGCCCCTTGACTGCATACAGTATTCATTTTCAAAACTCAGAGGAGTTACACCACAGGCTGGGTCTGTCTCCTTTGTACCTGCTGTTCCAAGTAGCTCAGCTGCTTGTGGGAGAGTATCGGCTTTTTCCTATCTGCTTGTGCATGGTCTCAAGTGGGTTCTCACTGCTTAGCAGTTTTACTGTGTACCTGTAGCTAAGTTCCTATTTTTCCAACATTTGATAATTTTCTTAAAAAAATTTTTTGATGTTTGTTTATTTCTGAGAGAGCTCAAGCAGGAGAGAGGCATTGAGAGAGGGAGACACAGAACTGCCAGGCTCTAGGCTCTGAGCTGTCAGCACAGAGCCTGACACGGGCCTCCCAAACCCACAAACCATGAGATCATAGTCCAGCCGGTTAGATACTTAGGCCGACTGAGCCACCATAGGCTCTCTTCATTACTTTTTTCATGTTCTCAGCTTAGCTTTAATATTTGCCCTCAACTAACTTTGTTTATATACATCGTTGAGATGGGGTCGAAACTGCTCTCCCTTTACGCCTCCTCCCCTTTCCCTTCCTCTTTCCATTTTATGGATGTAGCAGCTTTTCTCCTTCAATGGCAATACCTCATTTGTGTCCTGATCCCAATCCCTGTTCTCTATCAGAACCTTGAATCTTCCCAAAGCCACCCACTTCTGAAACTGCTTGTAAATCATCTTTGATTCTTCACTTTCTTTCCATACCTCCCAATTAAATTATCGTATTTTGTAGTTCTGTTTTCAGAAAGTCAACCAGTCCATGGCCATCTCCACTTCGCGGTTCTTACCTGTCACTTCCTCTATCACCTTCATGCCACTAATTTTATTCTTCATAATCCATTCTTTGAGTTGTTGATGAATTCTTGAATGTATAATTGCTAATATAAGCAATTTGTTCATCTTATAGTATCATTCTGTCATTTCTTAATGTATGTTTATTTGACGGGTAATTTTGTTTCTAAACACTTATTTTTCAGAAATAGTTTTAAGTTCACATCAAAATTAAGGGAAGGTAAAGAGATTATTCCTGCCACATGCAATAATTCCTTCCATTATCGACCACCCCTACCAGAGTGCTATATTTATTACAACTGCTGAACCTACATTGACATCCATTATATTTTGGGGTGGAATTATTGATGACCTACCATGGCCAAAGAGGGCCTGAAATAATTTGATTCCTAACTGCTTCTCCAACTTTTGTTTCTACTTGCCCTTATTTATTGTAGCCTCAGTATAGGTACACAGATTCCTTGCCTATTCCTAGAATGGCCAAACTGTTTTCTTCATTGTGGAACAACCTGGCACCCTTTCTTTTTGAAGACCTTGTGTTTTATCCATTTAGGCTATAGTTTGTAGGTCTATTAGCTAACCTGAGCCATGATGGCCCATG